CGGGGGGGGGGGGGGGGGGATTAGGGTATATACAGATATAGTTATGGCTTAGTTATCATCGGTCGAGGGTTTGGAGGGTTTGGAGGGTTTGGAGGGTTTAGGGTTTAGGGTTTAGGGTTTGGTGTGGATGCAGATATTTGAGTATGTGAATAATGTTGACTTTAAAACCCTTTATCCAACCCTACAAGACTACGAAATCCGCTACTACATCTATCAGCTACTGCGGGTAGGGTTTAGGGTTTAGGGTTTAGGGTTTAGGGTTTAGGATGGTTTTCTATTTCGGATATGCTAGGGTCTGGGGTTTAGGGTTTAGGGTTTAGGGTCTCCTTCCATCAGGAGTTTGCCGTCTCCTTTCAAGGCGCGTTGGCTAAGGGACCACCCAAGGGTTTCTCCTTCTAGGGTTTAGGGTTTAGGGTTTAGGGTTTAGGGTTTGTGTTGCAGGCTTTGGACTACTGCCACAGCCAGGGTATAATGCATCGCGATGTAAAACCCCACAACGTCATGATAGACCACGAGAAGAGGTAATTCTTGTGTAAACCCTAAACCCTAAACCCTAATAGCATGTAAACCCTAATAAATTAGGGTTTACATGAATTATTGTACATAAACCCTAATTGCTGTCTGCTGCTGCAGGGAGTTGCGTCTTATTGATTGGGGTTTAGCGGAGTTCTATCATCCTGGTCATGAATACAACGTTCGCGTAAGTTGTTTAGGGTTTAGGGTTTAGGGTTTAGGGTTTTTAGTATTGGTTAGGGTTTTTATGCATCTTTAGTTCGACTTCCCTGACCGTATGCTTCGCCCCCTCAGTGTAGCCAACAAATTAGGGTTTAGGGTTTAGGGTTTAGGGTTTGTGTTGCAGGTAGCAAGTCGCTACTATAAGGGACCTGAGCTATTAGTAGATCTGCAGGTTTATGATTACTCCTTAGATATGTGGAGTCTTGGATGTATGCTTGCAGGAATTGTAAGCTAGGGTTTAGGGTTTAGGGTTTAGGGTTTAGGGTTTAGGACAAAGTTGGTGGTGTTTTTTTGTGGAGGTGCAGAATTGTGTATATTTTTCAATTTAGGGTTTAATACACTTTATGATTTTTAGGGTTTAGGGTTTAGGGTTTAGGGTTTAGGGTTTAGGGTTTATTGTGTATTATATCCAGATATTTAAGAAGGAGCCCTTTTTTTATGGGCATGATAACTACGATCAATTAGTGAAGATAGCTCGTGTTCTTGGTAAGTAATAATTTTTAGGGTTTAGGGTTTATAGTCCTTTAAACCCTAAACCCTAAACCCTAAACCCTAATTATGGTTCCCCCGACAGAATATGCGTATATATAGACACCTAGTATAAGAATAATACATCCCCCTGTTCCCCTCCCTCTCCCTCCCTGAATATAATATAATAAATAAGGGTTTAGGGTAAATAATATGTATATATATATATATGTATATTTAGGTACTGAGGGTTTATATGGATATTTAGATAAATATGATTTATCCTTAGAAAAGAATTTCCTACAAATGTTAGGTAAACACTCAAAGAAACCCTGGATAAAATTTATTAATCAAGATAATCAACATTTAGCTACACAAGAAGCAATAGATCTTATTGATAAACTTCTTGTTTATGATCATCAATTAAGAATATTACCTAAAGATGCACTCAAACATCCATACTTTCAACCTGTTATTGTAAGTACCCTATACACCCTAAACCCTAAACCCTAAACCCTAAACCCTAATTTATTATTATTTATAGTATTTCCTTTTTTTTATTCCTCTTTTTTTCTATATATTTATATATCTACTTTTTTTTGAGGTCGTCTAAACCCTAAACCCTACTCTAAACCCTAAACCCTACTCTAAACCCTAAACCCTCCTCTAAACCCTACTCTAAACCCTACTCTAAACCCTAACAGGTTAGGGGGGATTCGTTATTTATTTGGAGGGTTTGGGGCTTTTTTATGCAGGAAGAAGAACAAAGAAATGCAGCAGCAGCAGCAGCAGGAGAAAAACCGAGGGTTTAATCCTATTATACTATTATCACCCTCTATATAAACCCCTTTTTAGGGTTTAGGGTTTAGGGTTTATGATCTTCCTATCTAATTCAACTAATTAGGGTTTTTCTTTTTGTTCGTCTTTTGTTTAATTATAGACAAATAAAAAGAATATAACCCTAATTAAATATAATTATACATAAATAAATAAAAAAATAAATAAACGCAACGATATATGCATGCATGCATGCATGCATGCATGCATGCATATACACACCATGCATGTATTGTATATATACATACACCCCGTGCATGCATGGGGTGTATAGACAGCTCCCCTTACAGCCCTTTACTACCCCTAACAGTGCATGCATATTGTTGTATATATATATATATATATATATATA